ATGCAGCCAACGTGGTTCCTTGCGACGCATTGGTTTCTATAGTTTGTGGGCGCAGGGGTTGTCTCCACGAGGCGCCTTCTGTTGTGTGACGCACCAGACAGTGACTTAGGGTATGGCCAGGGTCTTACAATGCCTTACATGTTCTTGGCATAGTGGCGCAACAACTTGAAAGATGTCACTGGCTCGGGGTTCTGCCCTTCATGAAGTGCCGGATACACGTACATAGCGAAGACCACACACATGTAATCACGCTACTGTGCGGCCTCCGACGCTGAGATAGTCGGCACATAACCTTGGTCAAATGCAAACTAAGATCCATAACAGTTGCTGTTCCAGCACGGCCGTTTTCTAGATGCTGCTTTGCCACTACCTGTGCAAGGGCACAAATTCATGCGCATGGAGGGAAACCAAGAAACCCAAGCGGATGTGCCCTGCACCGAAGCTCTTCCAGCACACCTCGGCAATGCAAGCTACACGACGAGTAGTATCTTCGTCGGTGCGTGTACCAACGTTACGCATTCCCATTGGGTGTGCATGTGCCCATATGGCTGTGGCCAGTAAATGCCTTTGTTGTCATCGCGTGAGCATTCAGTTTCCGGGTGCATCATGGCCCCCAATTGAGTTTGGCTTGTTGACAGGTGAAAACCTACAGAATCCCGGGCAACCCCCTTGCTGCTTCCGTGTGCTAGAGTGGGCCCTGGGGACATGTTACCCACCGCGTTTCAGAAACGTGGTCCCTGAGATCATGACCTCAAAAAAATCATTCGGCTCGGCAAACGGCACACGCACAGCTTCCCCAAACACTTTTCACGCTTAACATTGCAAGTGGCCATAGCCTGAGTGAGTCAATCTGAGAACGTCGTTCGTGAAGTCAAGGGAACCCTCAAACAGTCATAAGAGTGAAGCCTCACCCCCAGTGGAGGCAGGCCATCAGAATCACTCCACTTGTTGCAAGATGGAAGGCAGCAAATGGTACGAATACCCCGACCTTTAAGGCTTTTCTACGAACTTCGGGGCCATGGTCAAATCATGTCAAATCCCAACCCTGCCCGCCACCCTTTTCATGCCGGGAAAGCCAGCCATAGAACTTGCAGCCGCACCATTGCACCATAGGGGCCCTGAAACAGACTGGTTTTCTTCACAGTCTTATCGGGCCTTCTCCCGGGTTTGTTTCTCCAAGGCTTCTTCCACAGCTTCTGGAAGAAGCGGCGAATGTAAACTGTCCCAAGCAGCATTTGGGAGCTTCCAGCAACCTCCAATACCCTCAAAGGTTGCGGAGTGTCGGAAAACCGCAAATCTCCAAAAGGTTCCCCTCGACGAGACCCGCCCATGGCTCTGACCCACGATGAGTGGGATAATTCCAAGATCAAACTGTGCAAAAAACACGGAGCTCCTCTGAACTTTGCTTCATGAACAAATTTCGGCCGAGAGGGTGTACTTTTTCAATCTGAAAGTCCTTATTCCCTCGACTAGTTTCTTAGATTCTTTGGGAGGCTGCGGAACAGCTTGGGAGCCTACAAACTTATCATGTTTCCCAGAAGGCTTGCTACTCGGAAACGATTCAGGACCCAAAGCTTTCAATCAGAAAACCCCTTCGGTGTAGAACTCCCCTAAAGGCGAACCCCACAGCGTGACGGGGTGCAGTTCCATGTTCAAACTTGTCAATCATGCATGTGTCCAGCTGGCCCAAACCTCGAACACTAAACCTCAAAGCCTGAAGAAGACTTAAAGCGCTTAGGCCCTGTAACCCAAACCCTTTTCTTCGAATGTCAGAAAAGCCAGCCCATCGTTCCACTCCGAAGCTAGCAAAATCAAGTGTAAAGAAGCCAAAGAATAACTCCACTCCCCGCATAAAAAGGTCAGCTCATCGCCGTGTAAACACTAGCCCACCGTAGGGTGAGAAGACCGCTTCCCGATCCACTCCAAGAGTGGAAAAGCTGCCTTCACAAGCAATGAACTTAAAATGAGGGTAACTCACTGCAGGGGACTTGAGTCGTCAAGCCAACAATGACCATCTACCACGCGCGAACCGCGCTGATTGTTGCAGCTTTCCGGAGCAACAACCACCCATGACAACAAAGGCCCAGACACAGCACCGCTCGAAAAGCGCACTGTTCCGCACGCACTCGACATAGATCTCGCAGGGCTAGGGGCGGCAATTCATGCTTTGGATCTTGGAGCTCAGGCTTCCACTACGCATCCGCATTCCTGAAGAACACTTCTGGCCATGTAAGGGAGCTGAACACATGAGCGCAATCACGAAGACGACCCTCAACCTCACCCTCTGAACCCTGAACCCTGAACCATACGACCACGCCTGTTGCCTTTAGTTGCTAGACAGCCATCACCCGCACCTCAGAATAGCTGGGTTCCGGCAGGCCGGTCTCTTCCTGCAGACTCCATGGTTTCTTCCATGGTTTGGAGTGTGCGCCGGTTTGCTCAGGTTTGGGTTTCACAAAGGCCCTGCAGCTGCGTGTGGATGTCGTTGGGCTTCACATCCTTATCATCTTTGCTTTGCGGTCCCTAGGCTCACAAAACCGCGGGGCGTTGGGCTCGTGTGCCAAGGTCTCTCATATCCCCGCTTGGGCCGTCCGAAAACAATCTCAATCCAGGACTGGTGGACACGTCCTGCCCGACTTCCGGCAAAGGTGTGAACACTTTGGCTGGCGGAGGCTCTGGTCGTCGAGGCAGCGGACCTCATCAGTCTGCCGGTGCGGCATTCGCTGACCCCTCGGAGTTGAAAGAATTACAGCAAGCAGCACAACTTTGCAGGGGTTGCCAAAACGGCCACAAAGGTTAAAGATAAGGATGTGCTAAGCATGTTTAAGTACAATGTACTCTCCAGCTACCTCGTATACATGACAACCCTGCCTCTGAGTACATGGTACCTGGGTTTGCGTTCGTCAGCTGAATCGACTCGATTTGCAGAATCAAGCAACATCTGAACTCAAATCTTGAATGCTGGCATGTACACTGTGCAGGATTCGTAAGATATGCGCGGATGCTGGAGTTAGGTCCCGTCTAAACTTATCTTCTCATCGCCCTGCTTACACATAATTAGAAGGTACGCTAGAATGACCCATCATGCAAAGCACAACAAAAATCGCGAGAAACTCTGTTTGTGTCCTTCTTGAAGTCTGCGCGAGGCACTTGGCTCTTCAGCTTTTGGGAGCTCCAGCATCTCGGGCAGCTCGACCTGGTCTGCTGTTGCTTAAAGCAGAAGCAGTCTCTGCCCTAACATTTCATGTCAAGATATACATACAGAAACATATACATCACTTTCACCAAGAGAACTCTTCATGCAATCCTGAATGAAGTCCCTATACTCACCGACATTGTTATGGCTTTGGGGAATTTGTTGACCGCCGTACTGATATGTAATAAGGATGCCTAGGTTTCTCAGTCGCAGCCGGCAACGGTGAAGTGAGTTCCGACTTCATGTTGTCATGGGTTGTGACTCGGCTCGCTTGACTTCCAACACGAACCTTGCACCCTTGGTAGCCCATACTGTAAGCCCCATTTGCGCATGTCCTTTGCCAAAATGGTGCAACCATTGGCCAAAGCATCCATGCCCAAACGATGATTACTTTCTCGCTACCAATGCATCCATTGCAAAGCATCGCGAGTGCAAACCTGCTATGTCCTCACGTCTGCGGTGGCATTAGCCCAGCAGCTTCCCAAAGTTAAGCTCCGGGCCGGCGAGAGCTCACCGCAAGCCGCGCAGGCGGAAGGCTTTTCTTCCACCGCATGGCGGGCAACGCCGGCAACACCCTGCTTTGGATTCCGGAACATGACTACAAAAGATTCCGCAAGGCCCTGGAACTGTCGTCGTCGCGCCGGAGCAACATCTCCATTCTCAGATCTTTCTACAGACATATTTGGTGGCAGGCTTGCGGAAAGAGGGGGCACCGGTGTTTTTAAGCTCGAAGACTCTAAGAGGGACCAGTTGTAAGTGCTTCGATGCATCGTAGGAACTGTGAGAATTTGGGGCGAGGGTTAAAAGCTTTTGCATTTAGGGTGACCAGGGTTACGGATCAGTCTGAGGAAAAAAACATCAGAACCTTTCTGTGTCAACGAACTGATATACAAAAAATCAAGTCCTTTCCCAAATCTACATCCCTAGCAAAACTCTGTAGACTTCTCGAGACCTTATAGCGCCTGCCCCTCATCTTGAAGTGCAGGAACTTCAACTCGCGGCGGTGGCGGCGGCTGCGACAGCTGCGGCGACTCTGTAGCTACCTCAAGGCCACTACCATTGTACTGAGAGATGAGCGCTCGGCGGAAGCTGCGAATCATGGATTCTTACTTCTGGCTTTTGTGACTTGCATTTTCTTCTTGATTATGTGACATGTCGCGTTTCGTGCCCTTTATGCATATACAGTTTACGGACAAACGCACCGCAGCAGCAGACAGCGAGTCGCGATTGGAGGTGTGCAGACCTGCAGATTCTGACAGAACCGCCGACAAGGGGGTGGGCAGGCATGTGTCGGCCAAACTTTCTCAGCTAAACTTTCTCAAGCGTTAGCTTGACCCGACCGGGAGCACCCATGCCAGCATATTTCAAACAAACATATTGTATTGAGAGACCTGAAGTTCCAGCTGGTATACCTGGTCAAGAAGAGCTGTGCTGGAAAGGCAACGACCAAGGATCAGTTAGGATCCTAAGACCGTCAGCGAGATTGTTGCGGAAGCCTGACACGGTCCTGCATAAGGAAGAAAGACCGAAGAATGGAAGACATGCCGAACGCATTGGCACTGGAAAAGCGGTGGCCAGCAAAACCTCGGTGAAAGCCAGTGCCGGGCGGGGCGAGAAGCAAGACCGGATGACCATGTCAAAACAGAGCAGACCAGGCCTGCGCAGACGATGGTACGAGTACGGAGACCAAGGGAGGGGCTCAGTAGAAGGCAACTTTCCCGTAATGTTTTGCAATTTTGCAACAATAAGGGAAATGCTTGGAGACCTGCGGCGGGATTCAAGCAGCAGGAGGAGTTTGTGAAGCTTATCGGGGTCCAGGCGTACGACGTAGTAAAGTCGAACTGCTGCAAACTACCAGCCTTCCAGGCCACACGGGGCAAAAGGCGGCCCTTGAAGACGCAATCTGCAGGAGAACCACGAGCAGGCTTGCTTGCAAGTAGAGGCCAGCAGGTCGTCCATCGATGAAGGTCGGACAACCACTGCACAGGCGCCGATGGCAGAAACGCAGCTGTCTCAGCTTAACACGCCGATGCCCTGGACCAGCATGCATAGGCTTGCAGGCTTCGATATTGGAATGCAGGTGGCGGACACTGGCGGACATGCCCAACTTGTTTGGGAGATAGGAAGTGGCGGTCGCACGGAGACTGAACTGTCCACAATTAGGCGTGGCCTGATGTGGCGGACAAAACCCAGAAACCACCAACGTCTCGACATCACCCCCCCGGAGCGTCGACGATCCAGCCTTGAGACAGCTCATCTGCCAGCAGTTTGTCAACGACAACTGCGCCACAACGACAACGAAAAGGCTGGCTTGGCAACAGAGATATGTGCGAATCAGACTTCATCAGAAGACACCAGCAGGAACGCACAGAGATCCGTCAGATCCGTCATAAAAGGTTCGAGATCGGAGTGAGAGGTACGGGGAGGGCCAACCTTGGTGATCAGGCCAGAACAGTGCTCTGAAACAGGAACGGAATTGCTCAAGGGAAATCGGGACAGAAGCTGATGGGATTTGACGGAAGCGCTCCGCCACGCCCGGCAATCTCGAAAGATTCTTCCCACTTCCCCCGCCTTCCTCGAAAGCTACCCCCCAACAGACAAACAGCTCGGCCACTAGAAAATCTCCGTTTTTGCCGGTCAGGGATGCTCATAACAAACAGGGGCAAGGCTGGCGTGCCTCTTCTGCTGGTCTAATGAGGTGGGCCAGGGCCGACGGCATGGGGAGCAGAAAAAGCGAGATGACGCGGACGCACCAAACTCTAGAGCTTTCCACCTTCATTGTCGAATGTTGCTTCGCAGACCGAAGCGAACTCGAACATGGGATGCTTGAGCTCCAAAAACACGCAGAGTACAGAAGAAACAAGAGAGCTGCAACATTTGGGGAAGAATCAAACCACTGACCATTATCACTCGCTGCTCCAGATTTCCCATATTGCCAGAGTGCTGCTCCCAACCTTTACTGCCTTTACCCACTTTCTACGAGCATCTTGCAACTTACAGCCCTCATACCCTCATCAGCCCTCTCCGCTCCTGGAGCTCAGCAGCGAGTGCTTCTGTTTCCTCCAGCTCCAGGGTTTGACACATTGACTACGCCCGGGATTGGGAGCCTAGCTGTTTTGGACTATTCTGCGTTTAGGGCTGAGGTCTTCGTTTTGATGTGTTCTGGGATAACGTACGCTCACGAAGTCCACAAACTGCAACATCCGGAAGTCTCACGTCACAAGGTGCGCAATCTAACCTTGCGCCTTAGAGGTCTTGGTCCGGTTCAACCAAGTCCCTGTACATCCCCCTGTGGAGGCTTCGGCCTCCTTTGTCGCGGGACCCTGCCATTGCGAGTCGTGCATGCCTTGGTCCGAGGGCCGCTACATGCAGGCTTCTCTTGGGGCTTGATTCAGCTTGGTCAGAAAAGGGCCTTGGCTTCAGACACCCGCTCGGGCTCAGCCATCAAGTCCAAAATTGACAGTCAACCATGAACATGACCAAGGTACTGGGCTGCGTCTTCGGCACGTAGCCAAAGAAGGCCTACAGAAGCATAAGGATTGACAGAAGTCGAGTCGTGTAAAGAATTCCCCCTAACTTCCATAGAGCAGCAACTTCCCACGCTCGGACGATGGTGCATGTAGTGCAAGCAGTAGCATGCCTCATGAGACAATCATGACGACTGTAGCCTATGCAGCTTTCGAGCCAGAAAAAGAAACGAGCGCAAGCCCAACGAGCCCCCCCCCCATATGCCCAAACCCCAACCAGACAATGCAGCCCCTAAGACCCCTGGGGCCAGAAAGCCCTCTCAAGCCCAGCCTCCTCGTAGGGTATGCATGTTTCAATGACCTGGTCTTCATCGTCAAGTTCGACCTTCGCTGGGCAGCTTCTTGGTGCAACGGTTGCAGGACGTTAAAGTTCGTGTGCCGACTTGGAATTTAGAGCTGTACGCATTTCAGGCTTCAGGTCCAGGGAGTTACCGTAGCTTTAAACCCAAACCCCGAACACAATGAACACTTCTGAGTTTAGTACTACAGCTCCGAACGCTGAATCCTAAACCATGCAAAGCCTAGGGCCAAACCTCAAAGTCTGGAACCCGGACCGAGCGGCCACTCCTGGCCGTGGAGTGGGCTTCGGGCGCAGCTTCTGAGCTGTTTGCACAGGCTGTCTAGGCCGAGGTGATGGGTTTAGTCTGAAGGTTTTTCCCAACAAGCCCCCTCTTCATGAAGTCAGCAATGAGGCCATAAAGCAGTCCTGAACAACCTAGCCCAAACAACAGCTAGAGAATAAGCCCTGAACCTTGTGAAAACCGTTGGCTTCTAGCAGCTCACGCCGGCTGTGGGCACCCTCACGGTCGCTCGCACAACAGGTCCATGATACCACAGGGATTCTGTCAGCTGGGGCTTTGAGCGGTTTTGAGCGGCTACTATCCGGACCTCCAAACTGTGGGGACCCGCACAAACGGTTCAACTGTGTCCTTCCTGCACCCCGCAGCTGCCACCTCTCTCAAATCTGAAAACTTAAGCTAAAAGCAAATGTGGATCAAAAGACCGCACACCATCCGAGCAGCAGTGCTGCTAAGGCGGTTTGGCCGAGGCCGCGCTTTTGGGGCCTCCAATGGCTCTATGCAAAAGCCGTTTTGGCATGGGGCACGGTTTGAAGCTGCCGAGGTGACGGCTTAGAGCTCAGGCACAGAAACCGATTCTTGCCAGTTTCATTGCCCAGGGTCTACATGCCTAGTATATCGAGTACAGCCTGGGTTTCATGAAAGGAGCGCTTGCGCATACATCGCATAACGAGAGTTGGCAGAGACCACCTGGCAACCTTCCCATGTCATGTCCTGGAGTGTCCCAATGCCTGAGGCCGTCGTTGTTGTGTCGGTGGTGAGAAGACCTGCTTGGTTCAGGGTTCAGGTTAAGTTTTTGCTCCGTGGACTTCAGCTTCGGTCAACACGGATGCTATTTAGACTGCAAGTTTGACATGGACTGAACGTCGGACGTTCATGACGTTCAAGTCTACCTGTAGACCAGCTGAAAGAAAACCAAAATGGCAAGCGCTCCACCAACTTGTGGGTGTCGCTTTTCAGGCATGCCCACCGTCATACAAGGTTTTGGGCATTCTTGGATCCGAAGTTTTGCTGCCTGTGACATTTGCTCCTGTAAGAACGCGCAGAAGATGTGAAAGCTCAGGATGCCGTTGTCTCCGTCGCCGCAACACCAGCGATCTCTGAAACCCAACCCCGCAATTCCGGGTTTGGGGAGTTCCTGGTGCGGTGCGCTGCCTCGATAATCTCCTCACTGCCATCTCGCGCATCTGCGTGCCTGTTGCTTCCGTGTCCAGGGGTGACTGGGCTGGGAGGCTTCTGCGTGGCACAGTTATAGTCAACTCTAAGTTAGTTTGGGCATTTTGTTTGCTGCTTCCGCTGCAGGTGTCGAGGGGTTTGCTTCTAGGCCGCCTGAACTCTGCATGAGCACTCGTGACGGATTATTTGGGGAGGGCATAGGGCAAGCTGACCCCCCAAAGCTTCTGGGATTTCGGCAGGCGAGTGTTCTGGGCTCAAGGTTTCCCAGACTCGCGAACCGGCCCAAATTTGAACCACCATCGCGACAAACGCTAATGCAGGCTAACGCTTAAACCGGGAGCGCCAAAAGCATACTAGCGTGCATTGTCTGCATTGTCTACCCTGTTGCAGTTATTGCATCCCCTGTCACTTCTGTCTCTTCTGTCCTGGCACGGCGCTTCTTTGGCGGCTGGGAGCCCGGATGCCGCACGCGCCTTTGGCTTCAGAGCTATAGGATGCTAGCATATGCCCAAGATATTCTGAAAGAGGCAGCTACTCAACTGTTGAACAGACGTAACGGGCTGGTGTTCGGGGCATGGGATTTGCAACCTGCAGCTTCTAGTCTTCATAATCTAGACTTGCGGCGCGAGGAGGAACGAGACACCGATTATCCCGAAAGCAATCAGTGCGAAGATATCAACTGACACGTATAGTTGGTTGTGTTGTCAGTGCGGTGATCGTGGCGTGGTGTAGTAGGCTAGAAGCAGATGTGGTGTCGACGGCAGAGAGAGCGCGAAACGCAAGAAGATGGAATTTAACAGTCAGCGTAGAGAAGCGGTGTAGCTGAGGCGATGGTAGCGCGGTGATGGTAATGGGGTGATGGTAATGTGGTGATGGTAATGTGGCGATGTCGGTGACCATGGTATTTGCGATGGTTTTGGAACCAGCGAATTCGGGGACCATGGTATTTGCGATGGTTTTGGAACCAGCGAATTCGGGGACCATGGTATTTGCGATGGTTTTGGAAGCAGCGAATTCGGGGACCATGGTATTTGCGAAGGTCTTGGAGACCATGATATTTGCGAAGGTTTTAGAAGCAGCGAATTCGGGGACCATGGTATTCGCGATGGTTTTGGAAGCAGCGAATTCAGGGACCATGGTATTTGCGAAGGTTTTGCAAACAGCGAACTCGGGGACCATAGTATTCGCGATGGTTTTGTAAGCAGCGAATTCGGGGACCATGGTATTTGCGAAGGTTTTGGAAGCAGCGAATTCGGGGACCATGGTATGTGCGAAGGTTTTGGGGACCATGGTATTTGCGATGGTTTTGGAAGCAGCGAATTCGGGTTTTCGACTTTTCGACGCCCCGGAATTCGAGCCCCACGATATTTGCGACGGTTTCGACACCCCGGACTTCGAGTCCCACGATATTTGCGATGGTTTCGACATCCCGGAATTCGAGTCCCACGACATTGCGATGGTTTCGACATCCCGGAATTCGAGCCCCATGATATTTGCGAGGTTTTCGAGGCCCGACTTCTCGCCACGGAAACTCCAGGCGTCCGCGGCGTACTACATTTGTACTACAGAAGTCGACTTTCCAGCGTCCCCGGCGCACTACGTCTTTACTATAAAAAAGTCGACTTTCCAGCCACGGTCGGAGCGCTCCGACACGCACGATCCCCGCAGAGGGTGCGCGGGGACGCTTCAAAATACGCAAAAACGCACAGCGGAAGCGCTCCGACACACACGATCCCCGCAGAGGGTGTACGTGTACGTGTAAGATTTAAAATGCGCGAAAACGCACAGCGGGAGCGCTCTGACACGCACGATCCCCGCAGAGGGTGTACGCGTAAGATTTAAAATGCGCGAAAACGCACAACGGGAGCGCTCTGACACGCATGATCCCCGCAGAGGGTGCACGGTTCAGTTCCAAAATGCGCGAAAACGCACAGCGCTCCGACACGCACGATCCCCGCAGAGGGTGCACGGTTCAG